GGCTCCTCAGCGCGAAGGCAAGCCCTTCCCACCGGATGTCTGGTCGGCCTGGGAGAAGACGTCGGCGTCGGATAGCCGCGGCGACCTGGACCCTCAGCACCAGCACGACAACTTTCGGCTCGGCTTTCCGTAGCCATTTTGGCTCAAGCCGTTTTGGCTCAAGCACGAATCTTGGCTCAAGTCTCGCTGTTGTGGCACGAGCTATCCAAATTGAGCCTGTCGCTGGGGCGGTTAGGTATTGAGCTTGTCGCTGGGGCGGTCAATCACCACATTTGTTCATTACTCTTTCTTCTTTCTTTTACTCACTTCTTACACCACATCCCCAGTCATGCCAGCCCACACTCGCCAGCCGGGCACTCCTGTGCGTGAAGCTCTAGGCGGGACGTCCTCCGGTGCAGCGCCAGTCGTCGTGGCCCTCGACACCCCCGCCGACAAGCGGGCCCGCCTCAGGAGCCCACTTCAGGAGATGGACGGTGACTCGGACCGCGAGGTGAAGGATCAGCTCGCGAACCCCTTCCGGCAGCCAGACTTCTCGGGTGCCGACGCCGCTGCCGTGGACACGGAGCCCGTGACGATGGGCGGCATTGCAGCCCTCCTGAAGCAGCAGCTGGCCCCCATGACCTCCATCGTGGACGCTCTGCGGAGGGACTTCGGGAAGCTGGACATCAAGGTCACGTCCTTGAGCGAGACTCTGACCAGCCGCCTGGAGAACATCGAGGCTAGCGTTATCGATGCCGATCTGCGCATTGACAAGATGGAGGAGATGCTGAAGACAATGCCCATGACCAGCGAGGAGATAGGTAAGCTCGTCGACGATCGCATCAAGATGGCTATGGCGAGCAATGACCCCCCCCACGGCTCCACTCTCTCCTCAGACCAGCCCGCCAACAAGCGCTTCGCTACAATGGTGGTGGGGAATTTAGACGGCGTTGGCGACTTGTCGACGGCCGCCGAGTGGTTACAAGAGAAGTTGAAGACACTCTCAGCCCCTCCCCCAGCGAAAATCTATTCCAAAGGGACCTTCACAGGAATCGCTTTCGTGGAGTTCTCCAACATGAGCTCGCGGGACAAAGCTGTTGAGCTTCTCCGCACCGCGGGCTACACCTCAGGGGACAAGAAGGTCTGGGCCTCCCAGGACCGTTCGGCAACGGACCGTGCTGCCCGGAACTACTGCCTCGGGCTCAAGCGCCTTTTGAAGGACGAGTGGCAGATCGGCTACACTATCTCTGTCAGCGAGGAGGCGCCGTACGTGGTGACCGTGGGAGGCGAGCACGCGCTGACAGCGAAGATTGTCGACCACAGCGTGGCCTATCAATGGCAAGGCGAATGGTCTACTTGGGCGGAGCTCCACAATCACCCGGAGATGAAGGAGTTGGCGAAGAAGGCGGACGACCTTGCGGCTCGGGCTACCCAGGGCCTGAAGGGGAGGGCAAAAGGAGGGGCCAAGGGGAGCGGCCCACATCATTGACAAACGCATTTTATCAGTGACGTTTCACCCGCAGTCGGCAATACTGCACTTATGAACGATCGTTTGAGAATTCATCCGCAAAGCCTGCACGCACGGAGTACCAGTACAAGTATAAGTTCCACAACAAGGAGTAGAAGAGGGGATGTGCTACATGAAGAGGGGGTTCCTGATTTCCGAGGCGGGCGGCTACGTCCATGCACTGATGGTGTCGCCGTGGGCTCTTGGAACGTCGAGGGGCTGACAGAAGCGAAGCTGGAGGAGCTACAAATTCTTATGCGGAGTCGGGCCATCGATGTATTGGCGCTCCAGGAGACGCACAAGAGCGAGTCAACGTATACTGTCACTAACCGGGGTTACCTATTGGTGCTATCGGGGGACCACGAAGACCAAGATACAGCTGGAGTGGGTTTCTTGTTTTCTCCACGTATTCGTGAGAGTATTATTGGGTTCCGTATGATATCTTCCAGGGTCGCTGTCGCGAAGATCAGGGTTCCAGGAGGTAAAATCCCAATTTTCAGTGTATACGCGCCCCATAGCGGAAAGCCAGTGACAGACAGACGTGACTTTTACAATTCTTTGGACGTGATTGTTCGTAACACGTCCGGCCATGGAGGCAAGTTATTGCTGGGGGACTTCAACGCGAGACTTCACAAACGTTTCCCTTCCGAGGAGGAGCGTCTAGGCCCGTATATCTTCGGCAACCCCGGAGCGGAGTTCAACCCGGACTCGAACAGGAGCTTCTTGCTGGAATTTTGTGTCTCTCGCGATTTGGTGGTCAGCAACACGTTCTTCGACCACGTGCCGGAAGAGCAAATCACATGCTACAATGTGGGGTCCCGGCCATCAGATCCAGCCACACCGGAGCACTTTGGGCAGATTGACTTCTTCTTGTGCTCACGCCAACTGCAAGAACACGTTTGCGATGTCTATTCTGTGAGGGGCGCCTCTCTGGCATCCCACCACTTTCTCTTGCAGTGCCACGTGCGCCTGAACATCTAGAGAACTGCCCGGCAGCACGCGGCCCCGCTGGATATCTCAGCGCTGTCGCATGGCCCACTTGTCGCCATTCCAGCGTGCTTTCGTGGATTACATGGGGGACCGGGACCCATTGGATGGCACATTAGATCAGCTCAACGGTTCCATGGTGGACGCATTCACCGATGCTGCACGGAAATGCTTGCCAGAGGCTGGTGGCTCCAAGAGCAGGCCATAGATCAGCGATGCCACCCTCGAGCTGATTGCCTTGCGTGGAGAGGCGCGGCAATGCGGCGACTACGAGGCTGAGAAACGACTGCACGGCAGGATCAAAGCTGCCGTGAAAGCTGACCGTAGCAAATGGCTCGACGAGTTGTTGGCCTCTGGTGACTGGACGGAGATCAGAAAGCTCAGGAAGGGCCCTCGAGTGCAGCAAGGACGGATGCGAGATTCACGCGGACAGCAAGTGGACAGCGACAAGAGAGCCGAAACTCTGGCGGAGTATTTCTCCACGGTTCAATGGGCCGTGCGGCCGACGACCGTCGTCGACGACCCTCTCCCCATTGGCCCGGCGCTGCCTGTTGAGTGCGGTCGAATCAGCACGGTGGAGGTGTGCAAGGCAGCCCGCAAGCTCAAGCGGAACAGAGCCCCGGGTGGTGACGACATCCCGGTGAAATTCTGGAAGACGATCTGCGTGCCAGATTCCCCGGCAGTGGAATGGGCTACGGCGTTGTGCAACAGGTGCTTGGCCGAACAGTCCGTCCCCGCAGCGTGGCACGAAGCTTTGGTAGCAGCGATCTTCAAGAAGGGCGACGTTGCGGATTGCGCCAACTACAGACCCATACCGATTGGGTACAAACTCTACGCCATGATTTTGCTTGCTCGGCTGAAGGACGCAGGAGCAGATCGTTGCATCTGGGACACGCAGTACGGTTTCAGGAGCGGCCGGGGTACATCAGACGCCTTGTTTGTCGCCCGGAGGATGATCGATGCCACATTGGAGTCCCGCTACGACTGGCTGATCTTCCTAGCGCTGGATTGGGCGAAGGCCTTCCACAGTGTGTCGCCAGAGGGTTTATTGCAAGCTCTACTCCGCTTCGGCGTGCCAGCACCATTTGCAGAATGTGTACGGTCAATCTACACGGATAGATCGTTCCGGGTACGAGAGGCCGGAGCAGTGTCCGCATCTTGGCCGCAAGAGTACGGTATCTCACAGGGCTGCCCGCTATCGCCGTATTTGTTTTCCATAGTAATGACAGTCTTGATGCGCGACGCCACGGTGGCTTTCACGCGGCAGGGATTTACGCAAGATGAGCAGCTTCCGGTCAGCGAACTGATCTACGCGGACGACACGCTCGTGGTGGGCACCAACGACGAGTTCGTGGGCGCGCTCATGAAATGCATCCAGGAGGCAGGGCAGCATTACGGATTGATGTTTAACTGGAGCAAGATAGAGGCCCTGCCTGTTAGGTGCCAGACCGCGCTTACAAAACCCGGCGGCGCAGTGGTGCCGTGCAAGGAGAGCATGGTTTATTTGGGCGGCCTCCTATCTGCCAGCGGCGGGAGCGGCCCCGAGCTGAGCAGACGCTTGGGCATGGCAGCGGCAGATTTCAGCACGCTCTGCAAAGTTTGGAAGCACTGCAATATTCCATTGCGAAGGAAGGTGCGGATATTTGAAGCACGCATTGTATCCAAACTCATGTATTGCTTGCACACCGTGTGGCTCAACAAGGCCGAGACAAACAAGCTGGACGCCTTCCAAGCACGGTGCCTCCGAAGAGTGGCTGGCATAGGGCATTCGTATGTGAGTCACATCACCAATGAGTCCGTGCGCGCCACATGTGGTTGCGGCAAGCTGAGTTCTTTGCTGGCGTACAGACAGTTGGTCCTGATGGGAAACGTCGCCCGGCAACCAGATGGTAGCGCAGTGAGGCGCTGCGTCTTCACGCCAGGGAGGTGCACATTAGCCCGCCCGCGGGGCCCCCGCAGGCGCGGCCGGCCCAGAAACACTTGGAACCGGTGTGTTTACGACTTGGCATGCCAAGCAGCTGGCGGACAAGCAACTCTACAACAGGCACTGACTGGGTCTGCGCACGCGTGGCGCAAGGCTGCCTGGCGCTTCTGCTTTGGCGCGCCGGCGCGAGCATAGCCTCGCACGTTTCAGTGCCAATGCACCCTGGACGTGCACGGTTTGCTCTCTCTCTCTCTCTCTGCGGCATGGGCATCTACTGGGACACGCTGGCGAGGTGGATCAACGCGCTCGTCGCGACGCGCGGCGCCTGGGCGTGCCCCTCGTTCTCTTGCAGGCCTTTGACGGGTGCAGCACTATTCACGGCGATCCCTACGCGGGCCGGCGCCCTTGAACGTCCCGAACACGCACAAGACGGGGGACATCCACGGCGCTTTGCCGGCCCACGTCGGCATGGAGGTGCGACTCACGGCAGTGTAGGAAGAACTGAAGAAGAAGTTGGGGCTCGTGCAGGAGCAACGGGCCACCATCGCGTCCTTCGAATGCCACCGCGACGACGAGCAGCGGCACGAGGAGTGCTCGGCAGGC